ACTGTGGGGGAGGCAGAGGGAACAGGGTCAGGGGGGCTGAGGGCAGTGGATTGAGGGTGGGGGGCACAAGGGGGCCTGCGGGGGAGGCTGAGGGAACAGGGTCAGGGTGGGGGCTGAGGGCAGTGGGGCTGAGGTGACTCCCCCCAGAGGGACCTGCCAGGGGGCCAGGTGAGCCCAGCAGTGCTTACCTGGAGCGGCTCCCAGGAAGCATCCAGCAGGCAGGTCCCTCCCAGTCCTTCTGGCTCCTTCCTACGGTTGGGTCGGGTCGAGGGAAGGGGGCAGAGGCGGGGGGGGGGTCTCTCTGCCCGAGTCTACAGGCCCCGCCCCGCTGCAGCATGCAGGGGAGTGAGACCTCCCTGCCTCTCTGTGTGCCGGGGGCAGGGGCAGGGCTGCGCTCTGCAGGCTCCTGCCGGCCAGGCGGGGGGCCCCGTGGGCTGGCGCCGCCGTGCCGGGAACTCACTGCGCGCTGCCCCAGGGCCGAGGGAGGAAAGGTGAGCGGCGCCGGCTTGCCGCGGTTCCCCCAGAGCGGCTGCCCTGTCCTCGCTTTTGGGTCTTTAAATAGCCGTCCGGGGGGAAATCCCAGACATTTTTAGCTTTTTACAAATTCCCCCCGGACGGCTATTTAAAGACCCAAAAGCCGGACATGTCCGGGGAAACCCGGACATATGGTAACCCTAGTATTATTTGTCCCCCAAATATAGTAGAGCAAGCCTTTGATTTACACCCCAAGATAGGGTCTCCCACCTGCTGTTTGTTTCTTCCTGTTATTTTTCTCCTTTTGAAGTTTTTGCACTCCTTCATTAACATTCAGTTCAAACTGGTGAGAGAAGACCATTGTGAACTACACAAGACTTAATTTAGATGTAAACAGACAGCTAGATAAACATTTATATCTGACGAAAACCTATTTTTCACTTTTTCTCATGACCAGTCCATAGACACAGACCCTTAAGAACATAATTGTCAGTATGTTTACATAATTCCTCACACAACATCCATGCATGCATATTGCAATTATACTGGTGACCAATCTGACACTGGCTTTTATTTGAAACCTTACATGACACTTTTTGGCGAAGTAGAATATGCATGCCAGACTCACAAGATCCCTGTAACCCTTCTGCACTCTCTTGCCAGTTGGCATTAAGAGGTTCTTGGGTCTCACATGCATATCCCTATTTGGGCACCAGTCCACCTTGTCAGAGAGTACATCAACAGACAGGGCTACTTTTCTATGGTTATGCAAGAGTTGGTGGATTACCAAGGGTACTTCACCAATATCAGTGGGGGCTGGTCAGGAAAGGTGCATGACACTTGCATCTTTAAGAACACAGTACTGTTCAGAAAGCAACAAGCAGGGACATTCTTTCCCAACTGGCAGTTTACCACTGGTAATGTGGAAATGCAAATAGTCATTCTGGGGCACCCAGCCTATGCCGTGGTCCCCTGCCTCATGAACCCATACACTGGCCACACTGACAGCAACAAGGAAAGATTCAACTACCAGCTCAGCAGGTGCAGAATGACTGCTGAATGTGCAATTGGTAGACTAAAGGGATGCTGATGGTGTTTACTCACGGGATTGGATCTCAGTGTGAAAAACATCCCAATGGTTATAGCTGCCTGTTGTGTCCTCAGTGGTTTGAGCATTGGCTTTGGATTGTGAGTTTAATCCTTGAGGGGGCCATTTAGGGATCTGGAGCAAAAATCTGTCTGGGGATTGGTCCTGCTTTGAGCAGGGGGTTGGACTAGATGACCTCCTGAGGTCCCTTTTAACTCTGATATTCTATGATTCTATAATATCTGTGAGGTAAAGGGGGGAAAGCTGCTGCCAGGGTTAGAGGTGGAGTAGCTGGCTGCTGACTTTGAACAGCCAGACACAAGGACCATTACAGGAGCTCAGCATGGAGCTGTGCAGTTGAGAGAGGCTTTGAAAGAGCACCTTAATGCTTAGCCACAGAGTGTTCTGTGCTAGACTGTTCTCTGGTTCTGGAGCTTGGGTGCAGGTAGGAATTGTGTAGTGCTTACTGTACATTTATAAATATGACTGTGTGTGTGTTCCTGAACATGAGTCATGTGATGTCCCCTGTACATTTACAAGTACTGTGTGTCAGAGACAGGGAGGTGGATGGCCATACCTAGTGGTCAAAGCAGGAATCAGGCCTAATGGTCAGAGCAGGAGTTGACGCCTAGGGTGAGAGCCAGAGTCAAAGGCCAGATGCCAGAGTCACAGCCAGAGCCAGGAGTTGGTGGCCAGGGTCAGAACTGGAGTCAGAGACCAAATACTAGAGCCAAGAGTCAGAACCAATGTCAGAGGTCAGAAATTGGAGCCAAGAGTCAGAACCAGGTTACCTGGAGAGAGGCAAGGCAGGAGCAGGACAGGAACAAGCAGGCACAGGAGTTCTCACAGCTGTGGGCAAATGTTTTGAGCAGCCACTGTTGCTGTAGCTATGCTTAAGAGCTGGTCTGCTGCCTCTTCCAACCAATGAGGCAGTGTAGCCAAACAGGCAGCCTATTACAGGTCAGCTGTGCATGTTACATTGCCTGGAGATGGGCTGTGCTGCAGACCTGCTTCCTGACATTTTGTGCTTTTAATACCACTAAGCATTTCTGCAATAATATGCTGTGAATGAGATCATAGAATATCAGGGTTGGAAGGGACCTCAGGAGGTCATTTAGTCCAACCCCCTGCTCAAAGCAGGATCAATCCCCAGACAGATTTTTACCCCAGTTCCCTAAATGGCCCCCTCAAGGATTGAACTCACAACCCTGGATTTTAGCAGGCCAATGCTCAAACCACTGAGCTATCCCAATGAATAAAGATAATATTATTCTACAAAAACAAATTTATTGAGTGGCAAAACTTGTGCAAAAAACAACAAACTTTTAACATAAATGAATGGAATAGGATTTTAAAATTGGAAAGACTGCAAACATTTCTGTCCATTTCAGTTCACAGATGTAGTCTGTTGTGACTACATAGGCAACAACCGTGGTTCTCAAAGGTCACTGTATGTGAAGCTGTGGTTTTCTTTGCTGTCCCCTAGAGTGGAAGGGTGTGGGTAAAGATGTACCTTGTGATGCCACATGGTATACTGGAGAGTTATTAGCAAGGAGTTCCCCAAGGACTGAAAAGGGTGGTCCTGTGGGTCAACGGGGATCTGCAGCATCTGTGTTTGCTGCCCAAGAAGACCTATTATGTTCTTGTGCATTTACCTCTCCTTTTCTTGGTGGGATGCCTGGGCCCTTCACCTGTCTTTCTCCATGCTGTCAGTCATATTTGCCCTCCAGGCCCACTGTTCACAGTCTGATGCAGCATTGGCTTGTGGAATCTCACTGAACATGTCCTCTTCTTTTTCCTCATCAGTGTCAGGCATTCTGTGGATGTGGAGGGCGCTCCCCTCAAGGCCACAATAGCAACAGCAGCTGATAAAAACAGACAGATGAATCACTGGATTTACAGTCACAACAGAAAGGGAAAGATATGTTTCAAAACTCCCTTCCCTTACTCCCATAAAAACTTTTAATGAGACATATTTATTGACATTTCA